GAAGTGATTTGAGTTATACATACAAACCTAACATATTAGAACCATTACATCCTCCAAAAATGGATTTAAAATTTAATACTTTATTAGAGTGGATCCATAAAGCAGAAATGCAAGTATGGGGAAGGGGGTCAGCCAAAACCATACAAAATCCGACAATTTGAAAGCTTTTCTTATAAACATTTACCAAAATTTAATTTGTTTTTTTTAAAGCAAAAAGTAATAAATTAAGTGTGTATGAAAGACTCTTGGCAAAATCAAAACAAAACTGCTTTAATTTGAGTAAGCATGACATTTTAGCCAGAGAAATTGTTTAAATCCATTTAATTATTACACAATAGAGTTACATAATAAATTTGTTACATAAACACATGTTTATGTAACTTATTTATTATGTATTAAGTCATCTAAAAACTGTTTATTGTGTACCAACTTAATGTTCTTTATATGAATGCTTACTTTCATATTGTAATGTCTTGTCTAAAAAACGGATGGATCCAAAAAATGATTTAAAATTTTAATAAAATCCTTTTGAAAAAAATAATTTTAAACAACGAAAAAACTCAAAGCAGGAGAGAGAAAAATAGAAACAATTTGAAAGTTTTCATTAACTGTTAAGTCACTTAAGTTTGCTACTTACAAAGGTTGCAATTTTTTTTTTCTCTAATTGAAAGCTTCATACTTTTTTATTAAACAAGCGTCTTTATCTAAAGAGAGTTTACATTAAACATAAATTATTTAGTTTATTACTTACCTCAAGTAAGTAATCTAAAGTTAGTAAAAAATAAATTTCACTTGAAGATTTTCTTTAATTTTTTTTTTTTAGTTATTTTAAATATATTTATATTTATATACAAATATATTTAAAAAACTACTTTTATTTTGTTTTATTTTGTCTTTATATTTTGAACATTCTTTATGAGTGTTGCCATCAAACTTTTAACAAATTTCTTACTGCACATTTCGTACTATAATTATTTTTTCCAACTAATTATTTTTATTAAAGTTGAAAAAATGTTTCTTTTTACTTATACATTTTTTTATTTCAATCATATTAGATAAAATATATAAGAATTTTAAATCTTTAAAAAAAAAAAAAGGTTTTAAAAGTAACCAACAATACTTATTACTACATGGTCAAAACAAATTTACACAGTTATATTAAGTCAAATTTACATTAAATATTTGTTAAAAAAGTCATTAACAACAAAAATATTTACTCCAACTACTCTCTTTTATGGTAGTTTAAAACATGAAACTAACTGATCTTGTCAAAATTTACCTCAAGAAAAACCTATACATATAAAGTGGTTTTTAACATACTCTGTGATTAGCATACAAGTATATAAACAGGTCTTGAATTTACCTGTTTATATACTTGTATGCTAAAAAGTCATTAACCACAAAAATATTTACTCCAATTACTCTCTTTTATGGTAATTTAAAACATGAAACTAACTGATCTTGTCAAAATTTACCTCAAGAAAAACCTATACATACAAAGTGGTTTTTAACATACTCTGTGATTAGCATACAAGTATATAAACAGGTCTTGAATTTACCTGTTTATACCAGTATATAAACAGGTCTTGAATTTACCTGTTTATACAAGTATATATCATAGGACAACAACAAATTATTATTTTTAAATATCTGATTGTTTAAATTTTATACTTTTTAACTTCTAGATACTGAATTGTCTCATACATCATTCAAGTAAAAATATATATATATATATATATATATATATATATATATATATATATATTTTTTTTTTTTTTTAATCTATAAACCATGATAAGACAACAAAAAACTGATAATGTAGAATGTGTAGATGCAAATAAAAAGAAACATAAAGTAAAAAAAAAAGATAGAGCAAAAAAAAAGCGCCACTTCTTATCTTCACTAATCTATATGATGGTTTTTTCTATAATCTATATGATGGTTTCTAACATTTTTATTGGTAAATTAAAAATCTACATTTTATATTTCTGACATTTTTATGAGTAAATTAAAAATTTATGTTCTTAGTTAAAAGCCTATATAAGCATGCATTCAAAACTCAGCATGCATTTAGGTTGCAAAATAAAACATAGAAATATGAGTGATTACAAAGTAGTTTATTAACAGGTAGTAACTAAATCAGATTAGCATATATTTATTTTCTAAAACCACAAAAATTATTTTCTTTTGTGTGAAAAGGTTTTTTCGCTTGTTGTTATAATCAACATCAGTATTTAAAGTTTTGAAAAAAAAAACTTTTTGTTGGAATCTAGAAAGTAAAATCTAAACAAATTAAATGTACTGCATCTTTTAAATTAATAACAAGTTATAAAATTAATGTTTCTTTGCATTATTTTAAAATAAAAAAAACAGAAGTTATCTGAAGTCAGGTTTCAAAAATTAGGTGTATGAGATTACTATTGCACAGACTTAAGGAGTTTTAGAAAAGATATTTTAAAAAATCAGTAAGGGTAACCTTTTCTATGTTGATACAAAACATAAAACATTAATCTTATTGTTTTTTCAACAAGAAGCAAAAAATGTTTGATTCCCATCGCGTCACTGGTTATATCATGCTGAACCTGTTTCTCCGCACAGTACCCTTATTTGTCAAAGTTCCTGTTTTGGAGTTATAGAGTTGAGAAAGGTTGTAACCATGATAAAGTAGCCTCCTCAACAGTAGTGACCTTTTCAGCCTTAAGAACATTAAAAAATATATATTCCTATATCAATCATATTAAAAACAATTTTTGGCCAACAGATTACATTTTAATTTAGGACCATGAAAGTGGGTCCTAAAGTACTTTAAAAAATTTTAATTTCAAAAAATTTTACTATCATACCTCACGTAATATTATTTTGCATTTGTTTAGCATAGACAAAATAACTTTTGCGGCACAGTTTTTCATAATTATTTCTTCATACTTATCCAGAATTGAGAGTGTTTATTGGGCCACAACAAACATTTTTTGTTTTACAAAATTCTAGCATATAGTGTTTGATACTTTTTTAAGTATGGACCAGTCCTTTCACTGTATTTGGCACTTTATTGTTTTTGTTGTACCATGATAAAAAATCTAAATTGACTTAAAAATTTTTATTTAGGGATTTTACAAGTAGAAAAGAGGCTTATTATTTTAACATGCACAAACAAAGTATATAGCATTAAAATCTAATTAAAATGGGTTTGACAAGCTTAACTAAATAAAGATTAAGTTAATTTATTCAGTTTGTGACTTGTGTCAAGAGTTACACACTGTATTGAGAGAACAACGGTATAATTAATGTTCCTAGATTAAATTAATTTATTTAGTTTGTGACTGGTGTCTAGAGTTACACACTGTATTGAGAGAATAACAATATAATTATTGTTCTGTCTTCATATGACGCTGTTATGAAGAGGAGATAACATTGTGGGACATAAAAATCTACTTTTTCAAGTTTTAGATTGATTTTGAATTGTTCTACATTAAAAATATTGAATATTTTGTTGTATTTATTTTACATAACCCTGATTATTAGCAGTTGACTATATTTTATATATTTGCTAAAAATCACAATTCTGTAAAATAAATAATTTTAATTTTTTTCACACTTGTGCAAACATTTGTTACAAATCAGATCATTCTAATATACAGTTGTCTAATATATAATCGCATAATAGTATTATATATATATTGATATACAATTGTTCCACATCTAATTGATCTTCTAATCTCTCTCTAGCATTGTCAATCCAAATGCTTTCATTCTTTTTTCATAAGTATGATGTCTCAGAGGTTATTACTTAAGTTGCATTTGAATTTCATCATTGAATTTGGACCAGTTTGGTGATGTCGCCACTAAGAACAAGCTTGGATTGCAAACACTAGATGAAATCAAATGTATGTAGTGTATAAAATTCTCAAGAGAAATTTACCATGTCGTCTAAATGCTTTTTTTAACACGTCTAATGTCCAGTTTGCTTTTGCTGCTGCTGCGCTTATTTGTGATTTTATTCAAAAAGACTAATTTAGACAAAGAAATGCCGAGGTTAATTTTTTTGGTGAAAATGCTGCATGTAATATTTTCATTCAGTAGAGCTCACATTTAAAAACGTGTACAGACTTTATTTTTTGCCATTTTTTAAACTTAATATATCTGATATCTTGATAATACTATTCATAGAAAAATTAATGGTCGAAAAATACAGCATAATCCTTTAAAAATTTGAAGATCTCATCAATTTTAGAGGGAAAAAGCAAGCAATTTAGGTTCAAAACTTAAATACAATAAAATCAGGTGAAAATAACCATGAGCACAATATAGCTGAAATTAAAACTTGAAGTAAAATTTGAATTCTTTATAAATATAATAATTATATACTTCTTTTATCCATTTTTAGAAATTAATAAGACAACAAAAAGGTGTGGAGCTGAAAACAAAGGAAACTGGAGTTACAGGCAAAACCAGCTTTTGTAGATAAAACCATAAGTTATAATAATAAGTTCTTGGAGCCAGAACAATTAAAAACCAGGTGATTAAAATCAGAGTTTTTAAAGCTCCACACCTTTACCTTCACACCTTTACCTTCACACCTTTACCTTCACACCTTTACCTTCACACCTTTACCTTCACACCTTTACCTTCACACCTTTACCTTCACACCTTTACCTTCACACCTTTACCTTCACACCTTTACCTTCACACCTTTACCTTCACACCTTTACCTTCACACCTTTACCTTCACACCTTTACCTTCACACCTTTACCTTCACACCTTTACCTTCACACCTTTACCTTCACACCTTTACCTTCACACCTTTACCTTCACACCTTTACCTTCACACCTTTACCTTCACACCTTTACCTTCACACCTTTACCTTCACACCTTTACCTTCACACCTTTACCTTCACACCTTTACCTTCACACCTTTACCTTCACACCTTTACCTTCACACCTTTGGTAATAATTTAAAAAAAAGATAAATAATAGAAAATATATACTCAAAAAAATTACCCTTATAGTCTTCATCAGTAAGTATAACCGTATAAAGACCATTACTCTCTGTAATACTGAAAAAATTTGGTCTGAAAAAAAAAAGTATGATATTTATATATCATAAACTAGCATAAGTTATATTTTAATCACATTATGTGGTTAAAATATTTTTAAACATCACCTTTAAGTCTCATCAGTAAAGTCTTTAACTTTACTTGTCAATAAAAATTCATTCTTATAGTAAATTCATTTTCACATTTTCTTTTTAAAAAAATTTGCATATTTAAATGGGTAAATAGAAATAGTTTCAATTATATTTCAATTATATTATATTCTATTTACCAATATGGAAATAACTCCATGATTTCATCATTTAAAGTGAAATGTTAAACCTAATTTAAAAATCGCATTGACAAATATTTCAAAGCTGTAATTTATATATATATATTTTTTGTGTGAAAAATAAACAATGTAATGCTGTTAAAGTGAAATTAATTAATTTTTATACAGAAATAAAATTAATATAATTATTATTTTTTAGTAAAATAAGTTACAAACCTTGCCTCAGGTAACAAGGCAATCTTTATTATTGCATAACAAAAATATTGAATATCTGATTTGGCAATTGCACACACTTGCAAGCGATGCTCTAGAAGATATAACTCCATGGTACTATCTGGCGGAGAAGTACTTAAAACATATGGAGATGGAGAAGAATCTCTACGATAAGATATTCCACTGCTAATGAAGTGAGATAAACTTTGAATAAAAGCCATAATAGAGAATATATCACATCACTCTAAAGTACATCTAATGTGAACTGAAAAAGAAAAATTATAAGCTTTAAAAACAATGGCACTATGTAAAATAATCAGATATTTCATTTCATTAAATATCAAATTAAAAAAGCAGTTAGTCTAACAATTAATATAAAATTTTAACATTTAAATGTCTAATTGTTGTAGCAGTAAATAAATTTATATATATGAAGAGAGTTTGAATTCTCAGTTTTCATATTTACATTTACAATTAGTTGAAATTAAGTATAAAAATAGGTTGATTCTTCAGTTTCAGGGCTCATCAAATTTTTATTTTTAATAACATTCTTATTTTTAATAACATTGTTATTTTTCTCAAAATTTATTAACAGATGAAATTAAAGAAAAACATTCTACTTGTAAGTGAAAATAATTAACACCTCTGGATTTTTAGTCATGCTATTGCATCAAAATGATATTACCTTTTTCCATAGAGCAGAGATATTTTACTACTTTGAATATTTGCATTAAAATAATAAAAAATATCAATTTACTAATGCTATTTTACAATTTATAAATATCTTAGCTATTAAATACAACTTTTTTTAAAAATTAAATATTTCTTAAAAAATAAGCTTTAAAACAATGAAGGTGAAGGCAATGTCAAAAGGATTGGATAAAACTTCAACTCAAACGATTATTGTAAATATAATTTAACTGCAAAAAACAGTATGATTTATTTTAGATAATTAAAAATATAATATATTATATCCATAAAAAATTAGCATTGCCAACAAGTGCACTAAAGACATTTTTTCTATTAAATTTTAATCTTCCTTTTTGAAATGTCAAACTAAAACTTTAAATCAATGCTCTATTATATTTACATTTATGTATAAAAAACTTCAACACTTGAAAAATAAAGTTGTTTAACTTTTAATTAATTATACATTTAGATAATAAATTATGTGTTTTGTTAATGCAATAACTAATACAATTATACTTTTATTCAAAGCAAAATTTTTCTACTAATTTTACATAACTTTATGCCATGAATACCATATAACAGATAAAACTTTTTTTCACTTTGTTTAATTCAGTTTGCTAAAAACATATATTAATGCATATTTTTATCAACTAATAAAAATATGCATGAGCCTGTTTTTAGCATTTATAAAAGCAATTGTTCTGAAATTATTAAATTAAAAAATCTGAAATTATTAAATTAAAAAAATCAATGAAAATAAAAAACCTATAAACTGCATAATAGTATCTGTATTTATATAATGATATTTACATTTATATATATGCAAAAACATGGACCTTGTAAACAAATTAAGTTGTGCTAAGTAACAAATTGGTTTTTTATTTATTATTGCTTATTCATTTTGTGCCATATTGGAATATAGACTTTTTTAGTTTAAGTCTGTTTATCCTATTTAGTCCACAACAGTATATATCTTTTATTTAAATTCAATGGTCTAAAAATTTAGAAATTACAGAACTTTTTACATTCATATATACACACATTCATACTTATATATGCACACATATCTTGGTAGTAAAATTTGTAGTTGCTTTGATTAACTAGTGTACAAGTTATGTTTCCCATCTCTTCTAAGACACAATGTTCTTTGGGTAAAACTTTTTTGGTATTATATTTTGTCTTGTTGTTATTTTAGAATTATTTTTTGTTTTGATGTTTAGTGACTGATTTGGGTTTCGTAGAATAAGCTTTAGGATTTTTATACATATATTGTCAATGCATGTGTCGGTGTTTTCAATGTTATATTTTGTTCTGGCAAAATATAATGCATGGCATTTATTTCTGGACTAATACCTATAGATTTTAGCATTTTTAGATGTATTTGCTGTATTTCGTGCTTTATTTTGATACTGCTTCCACACAGTAATGGTGCACCATGGATCAAGTGGCCAAAGTCTAATGCTTCGGTATATTGTTACTAGTAATTTGCGATGAAAGTCTAGTTTTTTTAGTTTTCTATTTAGGCACTGAGCTGAGGAGAACTTGGGCTTGATGCAATTCCATATTTCAACATTTAAATCTAATCCTAGGTGTTTATATAAGGTTACATATTCAAGAGCTTTGAAGTTGACGGAAACAATTGGTGGCGGGCGTGTATTGAGTTTGTTACTAGGTAAGCTCATGAATTTGCATTTTGTCGGTTTAATAACATTTTGTTTTTAATGCACTAGCTATTAAATTTGTTGCACATTTCCTGTGGTAGGGTTGAGTGGGCTAGGTCTCCAACAATGTATGTAAGGATGCCATCAGCAAATTTGTAAAGTTCAGTATTGCAGTTAAATATATTGTTTATATCGAGAATGAAGAATATAAAAAGAAACCCATGTATCAATTTTTTTTTAATTAAATTTACCTCCTAAAGGCTCTACTATAGAGGAGGTTACTTGCTGAAACATTTGTAATCATAACACTTATAAACACAGCTGTGGGATTGTGACACATGGGTTAGTTATTTGGTTAATCATTTATCATTGGTTATTTAGAAATGTTAAGATGCTTGGTTGTAAGTAAAAGATATTTCAACATTTTAAGTTAAAATTAATATTATATTCAATTATACATATTCATCAAAACTATTTTTAAAATACTATCCATTACATTTACTTAGCAAACCCTTGTATTAATGAGTTTTATTTTTAAATTTTTTATTTAAAAGCATGTAAATTTTTGTAAAGTAAAATTGACATTTATTTAAATAACTTCACTTAAAAAATAATTGCTTATGCTTACAAAAAGATAATAATCAGAGTGTTTAAGCTCAACTTAAGCTCAACTAATAACAATTGTATTGTTTATAATTTAAAAACTGCTTATGTTTGTTTTGCTTGTAAGAGCAAACCTAAAAACCATCGCTCTTGACATATCACAAGTTTTCAATAAGGTCTGGTGTGCTTGTCTTAGCACATGACAGACACATAAAATGTTCAAAATTATTGAATTATTCTTTTCTAATCCCAATACCAAAGTCCTCCAAGTTCTGATGAAAAACACTTTTTGATTTCACGTAACTCTGGAATTATTGGAAATCAAAAAGAGTATTCTTAATCTCCCATAAGATTCTATGCTTGGCACCATGTTGTCCTAATTTACATTAATAGTCTTCCTGACAAACATTCGCCTAAACTAACTCTATTTGCTAATTATAAATTGGTTTTATAATTAGCAAATAGAACAAATTTAATTATAAATTAAAAATTTTAATTTAAAAATAGCTAATGAATTTTAATCCAAAAAAAACTTGGTTTTTACTTCTAATATTTAATTCAATATTGTTTATATTTCTCTATT